GTTCATTATCATCACCGTTAAAATGCATACTTTTAGCAATAAATTAGATAAAACATTGGCAATTTTTTACCAAGTTCAATTTTGAGAAATTTAGCAAAGTACTGTTAAGTACGTATTGTTCTTAGCATATTGTTCAATACGGAGAGATTGAGGATTCTAGATTTGCTACATCTTTTTGAGGACATTGATTTAAGATGATTTAAGACATTCATTTAAGATGATTTAAGAAATTCATTTTCAATATAATACTTAGTTTATGCATAATGTTTCTAGATAGAAAGGTTTTAAATTCACTACACCGTTTAGATTAATATTATTAATATTACCGAACCCTTTTCAAATTTCCTTATTCGGAAAGATGTTAAAACGATGCAATTAAATTTGAGGTTAAGATTGTTCAGAACTTAGGGATTTGGTAGTCGTTATAAGTAAAATTGTTCTCCTGGCATTTTTTATTAACGCTCCAAGACAGGTTTAGACACTCGTTTCTTATATTTTCAGTTGTTTTTCTTTTTTTGCTTTTCTTTAATTTGATTCTTCCAATTAAGTAAATATGAAAAATATGAAAAATCATTAGCATGTGTGTCACAACCCAGAATTGTTATTATGCATAACGCTAGCATTATCATTGAATATTTGCTTTTGGAGATTGTATCACTAGTATAGCTTCACGTAGCATGATAATTATTCTACCCAATTTTTTATATAAAATTCATTGACTTTTCTAAATGTAATATCATTGTTCATCAAATTGATACTGGTAGATTATGGAACATCAAGTGAACTTGATTTTATTTGGACCCTTTGGGGAAGGCAAATCTACTGTTGCTAATATGCTACTTAAAGCCGATCACTATGAAAAGAGTTTGTCTATGACAAAAGACACTATAATTGAATTATCTTTCAATATAGCATATGATTATAATGAAAAATTTAAAATATTCACCATAAATGGATCAGATGAGAGGTCTTTGGAGATCTTTGAATTTAAGAAAGCCATTAAAAATTATTTTTCTAACTATCAAGTATTGTTCAACTACATATGCTACGTAAAAAAGAAGAGCAGATTCAATGATAATGATTGTAAAGAGTTTGAAAATTTTAAAGATATATTCAATGATTGCGAGAAAAATATTATCGTCATAATTACACATTGTAAACAAAAATGGGTTAATGAAAACTTAAAAACAATACAAGATTATTTCGGACATTACCCTGTGATTGGTGTTGATTTTCCTTCTAATGATGAGGACGAAGATGAAAACGATGGCAATATTTCTTATAAACAAAAACAAAAACAGAAGGAACAAAGAGCACAAAGTTTGAACCATTTATTAGAAAATTTTTCAAACCTAAACTATGAAGGTACTAAATTAAAATTTCTCGACTTGCAAAAAAAGAATAAAGTGACACAATACATGAAATACATGAAGATTGGTGCGCGTTATGCAATTATTCTGGGTCTTTTTTATTGCATAACGGCAATAAGAAAGGCAATTAGAAAAGATTAAGTTATAATAAGATTTATAGGTTAGCATTAAGTATACATGATATATTAATATATCATTCTAACGTTTATAAGATTTTTAAGATTTTTGATGTTTATATTCTAGTTTTCTATTCCAAAATGTATTTCTTACAATAAGATAGCTGTGCTAGTCGCGCTAAAACCAGGAACTTATGATAAATTGTTTCATCGAATAGCTTAGGTTTTTATTACATAATTATAGAAGTTTAGTAAATAACAGAAGTAATTCAAGCTTTAATATTAGTGAGAAACTTAAAGCCGTAACTAAGATGCGCATATGCAGATTGTCGTAACATATCGTAATTGTGCTATAGGTCATAACTTTTTATATGCCGTAATTTAATATAATTTTACTTTTATTTACATACGTACATAACTATCGCTATATACAAATGTATACATGGTTAACTATATATCAATACATTAGATTGCGAAGATATTTTCTTTATTTGCGACGTCTTTTTATAGACTTTGCCTCCATTACTAGATTATTTTGTCAAATCTCTTTAATTTCTTGTGATTTTTTGCATGCGTTGTTAGGCGAAACCTAGAGGTTTTGCCGCAGACGAAAGTTCAAATTTCGCAAAATTCTTAAAAAAATTTTGACTTTATTTACTATCCGGGTGAAGTTTTTTTAGAAGTTTATAAAAATTTTTATGTTTTTTATATATATAAATTTTTTGAAAATAAAATTAAAAGCCGGGTTGCCGGGTCATTTTCAAATTTTATGTTATGCGATCCAAAAAAATAACTTTGTATGGCCTTATATTTTTTAAAACTTATTTTTATTATATATTTACTTTTCTTATATATAATATTTATAAAATAATATATTAATTTTGAATAATCATCTATAAATGCACTCAATATAAATAAATGCATGTATTATGTATACCCTCGCTAGATGCATCCTAATCTTCAGTCTCAAGCATATAGAGCACTTAACAAAATGCCTTCTATATATAAATGTGCATCCTCTCTAAATACATCCTTTTAAAAATTTCGTCTATAGCCCCAAGGGGATGCATTTACAGAGGGTTGATTGTATTAAAAAATATCTATTAGGTAAAAATAAATAATCTATAAAATAATTTTGTTTAATTTATAGATATAAAAATTATTTATATTATATTTTATTTATAATACAATTACCAATTAGTCCATACAAAATTAATTTTTTGTTTCTCATAACATAAAATTTTAAAAATGACCCGGCCGGCCGGCTTTTTTTTTTAAATTTTATATATATAATTTTTTAAAATTTTTTAAAAAATTTTTGAAACCCACCTGACTATTAAAACATATAAAAATTTTTCTTCAAAATTTGACCCGGCCGGGTTATGAAAAACAATTAATTAAATTTTTATGGCCTAAATGATAAATCATGCGTAAATATTGTGTAAATATTACAAGCAAAAAAAAGATATATACATTTTATCTAGAGGACTGCAAATGCTCGTGCTGATCTACCGAGTCATAGTTAATGAGCGATGCAAGAAGAAACTGGCAACAACTACCATTTTGATCGCATCATTATATAGGACAACTTTTTTTTTGTTGGAGTTTTTGCATCATTGCTAACTTTGTGCAAATGTTCATAAAACATTTAGTGAGCTTCTGCCTTATCCGCGTAAATATTATTGCAAACAATATATGTCACAAAGTTTTGTAGTGACAAAAATAACTTGTATAAATATTTTCTTCTAAAATACTATTGTAAAATATTATAAGAATAAATTCACAAAAAAGAAGTGAGATTTTTGCCTTGAAAACGGTTTTATAGGACATAGCAATTACTATATCCCATAAGATTATTTCAAGGCAAAGACTCCAAACCTTTTTACTATCATACCATACAATGAAAACAAGCAGGCCCACCTTTAGGCCACAGTGATTAAATTTTTTCGTTCATATCAAGAAAGAAGAGACCCATAATTTTTTTACCACGAAGCGTATCGAAATGTTCTTCATCAAGGTTAAAGTTTTGTTCATGTAAAAAAATAATAAGGTCCTCCGTATTCAAGTTTTTAACAAAAGGTGAATCATTTACAGGAGTGCACATGACAACATGCAACAATCTAATATCTTGTAAAAAGGAATCTTTGACTTTATGTTGAGGCTTAACGCGTATGTCTTAAAAAATGATATAACAGATAACTGATAAGCAATACGTGTAGAAATTATATAAAAATCTATTGCCATACAAATTAATCAGTGTTAAATTTACGCGACGTAAATTTCCAATGAAACAAGCGATGTTTATACTTCTGAAATCAAACGCAGCTACGTACCAGTCGAGCGAGATGTCACGCAGTTATCGTAGTGGTTACGTAATTACGTAGTATTTTTGATTTATTAGTTACGATTTTTCCCAATAAGATAATTTCGATTTTGTCTACTAACTTGACCTTGTTTGGGCAGACATTCGGTAAACTAGAGATGCGTATCGCGTGAGATATCTCGTGCGAGATCATATCGCCTGATTTCGCGAAGTTATGTGATGATAATTCATTTTAGAATAGTAAAATATTCAATAAAAAAATCTTCCTGGTCAAATGATTTATCATGCAAAATCGTCATCTCACGGAAATTATACGTACGCACATACATATATAGTTAACATAAAACTTACAAATTATGATCCTTACGTAGCCTATCATTCCCACTAGAGTGTCCAGGGTACTGTGGTGGCAGAATCTGCGCAGAATTTGTACAGAATTCTGCGAGCAGAATAAAAATTATTGGTGAATATAGTCTATTGTGATCAAATTAGAATTTTCTTTTTGTTGTAATATTGTTTTTTAAAGTATACGTCACCGCAGAATTTGCAAATTTAACGATAATGGCAGCAGAATTTTTCAGTTAGAGCAGTACCCTGGATACTCTAATTCCCACACGTCAGTCCTAATTTGTATTTCTGTGCAATACTATTTCGCCATGCCCGCAGTTAAGGTCTCCCTTTATAGATACAATGACAATCAAATCTTGCTAAATTAACTTCATAGTGCATACGTACGTACGTGCGTAAATACTTGAAGTCGATCATTTATCAAATATGTGGATTCACTGATACGTATTATGATGACTCCAAAAAAATAATCATCTCTTTTTTAAAATAAATTCTTTTCTGTGGCCATCATAAACGGTGGAACTGCACTGATTTTAAATAGCGCAATCACTTTTGTACATTAACTATAAAATTTCCTAAAAAAATGGCACAACTTTCAGATGCAAGTCTTTTTAAAGGAACTATTCTTGATTCTTTCGAGACAAACGGATATATATCCACTCCTCCAACTCCACTTCCGCCTCAAAATTTCTTTGAAAAAGCAAAAAAATTAGTTTCTGATAACCCAAAGGCCACGGCTGGTGCATTAACTGTGGGCGGCCTTGTTCTAGACCCACTTGCATTTGTGGGTTTAGTAGGTGCGGTTGGATTCGGTTCAGGTGGTATAGCAGCTGGATCAATTGCAGCATGGATGATGTCATTACAAGGTGGCGCTACCGCTGCGGGTAGTCTTGTAGCTATTCTGCAGTCAATTGGCGCGGCTGGATTAGGCATGACCGGAACTCTCATATCGAGTACTACAGGTGTCACGCTTTTGGGTGGGTTGTCTGCATTGGTTTCGAAAAAATTGGATGAAAATCCAGAAAAGTTAGCTCAACTAGATAATTTTGTTAAGATATATGATGAAAATGGTGAAAATGAAAAACCTACTGTGGTTTTCGAAATACGCGACAAGCTTCTTACAAATGATAAAGCGCTTGACGATTTTTTTAATATATTTGCTCTAGTTTTACCTCTAGCTAAGACAAAACGGTTCAAATTTCTTGCAGATAAAACATATGATATTGAAAGTCCTAATATTTTGATTAATCGGTTTGTAACGACTTATGGAGAAAATTGTGTTGAACTAAGACAGCAAATTATCATGCTAAATTTGGGTTAATTTCCACAGAAATCTTTGCATTTATTCTTAGTTAAATTCAGATTAGTATACACTAGTACGATAAGTCTTTAAATAAGCTGTCAAATGCTGATTATTTAAATAAATCATAGCTACTTAACATCTATTAAATTTTAAATTTAAGTAACTGAATACACATTTAAAGCTATGAGTTCGAGTTGTTTTTGAAAAAATAATTCTTTGCATTTATGTCTGAAAAAGTATATGCTCAAAAAAATAAAAGAATCTCTGAATCATACTTTTATTTCCAGTTTCATATGGAATTCGATGAATGTATATCATTTTCTGAGAAAAAGGTTCGAACATCCCATTTATTTCGGAAACGAGGAATCGCATATTATTATAGTAACGTTATACTTCTCCTGTCAGTCATCATATTTAAAATTTTCTGACTTGAATCTTAAATTATTTAATGCAATTTAATACCGTAAAACGCCGTATAAGGTACCCCCCTTGATTTGTACCGGGTATGTTTCAAGGTTATTTGTTGTGGTGTTTTGTAAGAGACCCGGGTATAAATCAAGGATCGATTTAATAATGAAAATCTTTTTTTACTAATGGGCTAATATATGTTTTTCACAAGATACCCCCCATATAATATACCCTCCTCCATACAAGGTACCCAGGGGGTACAAATCAAATTTTTATCATGTGAATTGTAAGATACCCGGGTACCTTATACAGCGTTTTACGGTAAGTTGACATTGAATAATCTCTATATAATATATCTATCAAACTTGAAAGATAATAGCTTGCTTCAGATTATAATTTTTTAGAATTTCAAAATTGAAAAATATATCTGAATAAACAAATATATAAGTTAGATAATTCAAATTATTTTATATAAAAAATTAATTACTTATTGTATTTACTGAATATTGAATACTAAATATCTGAGTAGCTTTCAACACAAGTATAAAGATAAGAAAAAATTTGTTAACACTTTCTTTTAGAAATAGAACACTATGCAAGCAGAATATTTCAAAAGATTAGAATATATTAGAAACCATTGAAATTTGGAAATTTTAGCCTGCATTAGTCATAATGCAGGCCTATATAGGCTCTGTATACTATGCAGGCTGCATAGCTTATACTATATTTTTAAAAATCTTCAATTTGTCTATCTTTACTTTCTTTTCTATCTATGTGCTTTATAAGACCTATATAAAGTTATAATATAAATGCTTTATTAAAAAGACAAATCTGAGTTCTACTTTAAGTTATAATAAATATTTATGTCCTATTACTAAATAACTTTACAACTATTAAGGATGCGAATAAGTTTATCATATAGTAAATAAGAATAAAATAGAGAAATACATTTTTTGTAAATTTAAAATATTGTTTATTATAATTAGCTCGAGTTATATCTAAATATTTTTCTTTTTACTTGCTGAATATTTAAATAATTCAAGAATTTCATCATATTCTCTAGCATTTTGAATTCAGCATCAAATGTACGACCTAATTTACAGTTATGCATTTTTAAAGAATAACTAAATACAAATATACAAGTAAATAATTGTAAGTAATTGAATAAGGCATACTGGAGAAATTTACAAATTTACAAAAAGTAAGCGAACATATTTTTAGATAAAAAGTTATATATAAATCTGATTTGATCATGACAGATTTTTTTCAAATTCCAGTTCAAAACTGAAATGAATATTTCAGATAAATATTAGATAATAGTATCCACTTGTATAAAGATCATTAGCAAATTAGAATTTTTTAAAGCTAACTGATTTTATAAAGAAATTTTTATACAAGACATAGATTTTCTTTGTGATAGATTAGTTGATAAATTATTTTCATTAGTGATATTAGTATTAGAAAGCATATTATTTAGTCAAATATATTTAAGCAATAGAAATGAATAAGTTCAAGCTACAGAAAATGTATACAGCTTTTAATGTATAATTATGATGAAATATTTCTGTTTACTCTGGATATATTCTTATATAATTGCTATTAAAATTAAATCTATTTAGTATTTAATATTTTTTAGTATATTCACGTAGGTTTGCTATACACTAATAGTATTTACTCTATATTGTTTAAGTTCTTCATTCATTAGTCTTTGTAAGTGTTTTACCAAAATACATTGCTTTTCAAATTTTTCTAAAAAAGTTTGATAATAGTGGGCTGTTTTTTTTTTTTGTTTATTTCTCTTAAAAACTCTGCTATGGTAGATAAAGTGAAAGTAATATATAAATTAGATTTCATAGCTTGAGTTTGTAAAGATAATGCTTAATATAAGTTATATAGATTTGAAAATAAAGATTAATGTGATTGAGATCCAAAAACCTAATTGTGTACTTGTGCTTATAATGGTGATAATTGTGATTGCAATAAAACCAATAGTGTATGAATTTGTTGCAATAGTAAACTAATAGTGCTTAGATTTGTAATGATAGTGAAACTAATAATGCTTCTACTTGCAAATGTAAAAGTGGTGATAAAATTTTTTAAGATAGTGATACTTGTATTTTTGGTGATGAAAATGATAATAAAGCTGATAATGCTTTTTTCTGTGATAAAGTAACTTGTAAAAGTTTTTTAGATGATATTTTCGAATAGAAAAAAATTGTATATATTAGGAGATTTTTAATTGTAGCCAATTCCTTATTCTAAAAAAATATATATATAAATAAAACAAAATTTATAAACAAATTGTTAAATTTTATCTAATATATATATCATATCTAATGTCTATATAGAAAGCATTATGAAAGTTATTTCAATATACAGATCTTTATGATTATGTAAATTGCAATGATATTTTTGCCAAACTTTTAACACATTTTTAGCAATATTTTTATCATATGAAGATAAAGTTGAAACATTTGGAACTCAGTTAATTTTTTTGCTATAGCTTGACTTTTTAGCATCTTTATCGTTCAAATCAGATTCTTGCAAAGTGTATTAAGCAATTAAAATTTTAATTTATGCATTTTATATAACTCTATAATTACTTAGTATATACTAGCACTAGGGTTTCAGAATTCTGCAATTGTCTGCTTTTTAATTATTGTTATGATTTGAATTTGCAGTATAACTTTATTGTTAATTAAAATATACAATTTTTGACTAAATAATATTGATTGTGCTGGCCAGGTTAGTTGCAAAAATCTATACAATTATGTGCAGAATTCTGGGCACCCCATATATGTGTAGTATATATATCTATATATTAGTATAAAATATAAATCTTTTTCTTTTATAGTGTAGTTGGTAAGTTGTCGCACCTCCAAGCGGCAGGACAAGAGTTTGAATCCCACTGGCGATGAAATTCGAATT